TTTATGGATATGCATGTGTGAGCATATATACATGCATATATTATATGTTATTAAGTGTATTTAATATTAATATTTAATTATATCTATATCTGTATAAATTGGTCCCAAAGGATCAATTATTCATTTGTTTTCCTTTTGAAGGAAAATTCTACGAGTAGAGATTTTGTTTTTGGAATTTAGGGGTCTAGGCATCTAGTGCACTCATCAGCAAGGTTGATCCAAAGGCTACATTCAGAACCGAGAAACAGGCGGGATTGATGAGAAGGGCTTGCATGACTTTCTGGTGATTTGTTCATTCCCAGGACGTTCCATGCTGGGCTGCTTTTGAGGCAAAATCCCTTCTCATTCATTGCTTTTGCTTAATCTTCCCTTTTTTCTCTCTTCTAGCCCAATCTTATGCGTCCAATCTCTTTTCTAGCTCTTCCCTGAGCCTAACACTCAGTCAGTCGATGGGTTTCAGAGACAGTCATCCACCAATCCATACAAAGGCAAAAGACAACTGAGGGCCTGGGTGCTCAGGCCCCATCTCTTACTGGTTCCACCCTTGCCAGATATTGGCTCTGGTTTATAGAGATAGCATTTAGGGTTAGGGTTAGGGTTAGAGTTGGAGGCAAATTTAGGGTTGGGGTAGGGTCAGAGGCATTTAGGGTAAGAGTACATTTTAGGGTTAGGGTCCCATGCAAGCTGCCCTGCCCAGAACCTTGCCTGGCCAGCAATCTAGATCAGTTAGCATTCATGAGGACAAAGGCAGCTGGGGCCTTTTCCTTTGTTTAGTCTTGGTCCTTTCTCCTCTTATGGCACCACTGGAGTGTGTTGGTATGTTCATGTGTGTATGTGTGTCTGTGTCATTTTCATGCCTTCTCAAGCAGTGGGCGCTGCATTTGGAGAAATTAGTCACTTTTAAAGCTGTGGTCCCAGTCAGCGAAGGGTGGCCAATGTGAACAGTGCCATCTGGGCTGGCCCCCAGTTTTCCATTCCTTGTGATTTATCCTGTTTGGATTGGACCCTTTTTCCTAGAGGGAAGGAGGGCCACGGAGGCAAAAACAGTCATTACGACTATGGAGTCCATTAAGTATAGCTCCTGAAACCAAAGGAATTCATTCCTCTTTGCTTGGTTGTCCTTAGCTGGCCTCACAATTGTCATGTTCAGAGGCATCTGGGATCTGTTTACTCTGGACTGATATTAAGAACATAGACTGTGTGAGGAAATCCCAGAACCAGAGGTAGGGAGTCATGGTGGGGAGCATCTGTATGAAGATTAGTGAAGGCAGATATAGAAGCAATATGGACGTAGGCAACCATCGGGGAATATAACATTTGTAAAGTGCTTAGCACAGAGACAGGCACATAGCACACTCTTAATAAACACTTGTTTTTCCCACCCCACCCTTCTCCAGACCAGCCAGAGGATGGAAATAGATGAGGATTCATGAAGATAATCTCATTTACCAAATGTTTATGAAGTACCTACTATGTGCCAAGCATTGTACTAGCTTTCCAAAACTTCCCAGAAGTGATGGGTAAAGGATCTGTGAGATTTGAATGAGTTTTGATCTTTTATCTCGGCTACTTCCATAAGGTCATGGAAAGCTGAATTATATTGAGAATATCCCCCAAAAAGGTAAAAGTCAACCTTGCTTTTGAGGTACTTATGTTCGCCTCAGTAGAAATACCTTAGGAGGCAAAGAAGTCAATGTGACATAATTCAGAGAAGGGAGAACGCTGTCCCAGTGGAGAATTAGAAATGGCCTCCTATAGGAAGGGGCACTTCAGCTGAGCTCCAAGGGGGGCCACGGCTTCCAAAAGGCAAAAGACACCTGTGAGAGCTGTCCCATGGGACAGGTGACATATTCTGCAAAGGCTTGAAGGTGAGGGATGAGATGCCACATCAGAAGGAGGCCATTTTGCCGGAGCTGTGATTGTGTATGTGTGTGTGTGTGTGTGCGCGCACACACATGCACCATGTACTTTCACAAAAATAAGGACCTTATGAAAAGGGAAGCATTTCAGAGGGGAGAGAATGAATTCTGTTTGGGACATGCTGAGTTTGGGATGGCTCCTTCAAAGTCATCTAGCAGGTAGCCAGTGACATAGGTAGGACTGGAATTGTAGACTAGGGAATCATTGGAATCGAAGGTCATTGAACCTAAGAGAGATGGTGAGATCACCAAGAGAGAGCCAAGAGAGAAAAGATAAGGGGGCCCAGGACAGAGCCCTGAGATTCCCCAGTTGTTCAGAAGGTTGGTCCAAAGGCCAGGGATCACGAAGGAGTGACAGATGTTAGTCATCTGGTTATCTCTTGGATCTCTGGGTGTCTGCCAAAAGTAGAGTACTGCATGGTTCCTTGACCTGCATTAAAGATGATTCATTCTTCAAAATGTGGAGGAAGAAGCCAGAGTCAATTCTACTCCAGGATCTGATCCTCACACTCACTGGGAGATGATGAGAACTAGGCAGGAAGTGAGCCTTATCTTCTTGACTTTGTGGAAGACAAAGAGTAGAAAACGGGGAATGGTCCGACATGCCCTCTAGATTTTGGGAGGGCAGATTCCAAAGGGTTCAGAGAAAGGAGTTAGGAACTTATGGCTTAACATTTTCCAGGGAAAGTCCTCACCGGAGGGATGGGAAAATCTCACAACACAAAGAGAAACAATTCTGTTGAGGAATTTGGTTGTCTGAAAAGCTTGATGGGGATGCCCAGAGAATTCGCCAGTTGTTATGGATGGGTGTGTGGGTGACGGAAGCTTGGGCAGTCGGCGGAGTATAAATACAGAAGTGTGTCATGATCCAGTGAGGGCCGTGGTGAGTGTTGATGCCACCAATGAGCTGAGGCTGCTGAGAAAAACTAAGGGAAACACAAAACTTGTACTGAGGAAGAAAGGAGGACCGAAGGAGGATCGGAGAGCATGGGATGCCCATGCCTGCTCATGGAGAGAAGCTCAGGCCTCACCAGATCATTCCCACCTTCAAGAAGCTTCAGTCCCTGCCACCCTGAGCATGAAATACAAGCTCATTTGTTTGGCCTCTAAAGCCCTTCCCAATCTGGCTCCAACCTTGTAACTCAACTTATTTCACATCACTCCCCCTCAAACACTTGGCTCAGAGATTTGAGGTGAATTGAATTGATCATTCCGCGTCTGCTGACAGGAGTGTGGCATTGATGCAGATAAGCTCCGTGGAGACCCATGGCACCGACCACGCATCCTCCTTCGTCTTCTCGTTCTGTCAGACACATTTGCTTGCCTGAGAAATGCTAGCCTGGTCCTGCCATGGGGAGGTTGACTGGAGAGGGTCCTCCTAGACTGCAGCAGCTGGTTACAGGTGCCTGGCAGACCCCTCACGTGGGCACTGGACAACCATTGGCGGGAAAGAGCCTCATAACCAGGTGTCCACTTCATCAGCTCTGACAGGAAGCTCAGTTCCAGGAGACCCATTGGTACACTCTTTGGACGCTGGGCAGGGAGGATGTGCATTCTCCAGTAACTCTTAGTTTTATCACTTTCACATGAGATGAATGACTGGATGTAGCCCAGAGCCCTGAGATTTAAAATTCGATGTGTAGGGTGAAGTTCTGTCTGACATCAGGATAGATGTAACTGTCGGGGACAATAATGTCTATTTTTAGGCAAAGAATTGAAAAGAACAGGAACCCAGCAAAGAAGACAGACTTCAGGGAGAGGCCAGCACGGGTGTGGTGGCCAGGGCCAGAGGATGTTATGGGCTCACGAGTTCTTCCTAAACATATAAGGGTCTTTGTCATGGGCCCTAATCCTCTGGGGAATCTGTGATCTCCTGGATGTCTGTACCTCCCCTCTAGGTGCAGATTGGAGCCTTTCTATCGTATTGGGCAATCTTCAGAGTTCTGTATCAGACTCTAAATCTCCACCATCTAAGAGTGAATCTGATGTAGAAGTGCCCACTGAAAGTGGAGATCATACCTACTAGGAAATAATAAAGAAAAATATTGGAAAATGCCTCCCACACATTTTATGGATGGAGACCAGAGTCCTTGGTTCATAACCGACTGATTCAGAAACTGCCAATGGATGGGCTGAGCAGGAGCCACACTGTTAAGTGTCTCCAGAGAAGCAACGTGGCCTGGCTTTTAGAGTGTGAGGGAGCTCCTTGACCCAGGGGAGAAACTGCTTCCTGTGCTAGGGAGGTGTGTGCCAAGGAAAGGACCCACAGGAAAAGGTTAGAAATGAGCCCATTTGGCCCGCTTAAGAGAATTACCATGTTCAAGCACTTTGGTGGCATCAGTATAGTTGACTGGTTAATTGTAACTTGTTATTTATTCCCTAAATCACATGTCCAGGGATCTCTTTGTGTCCGTTCACCCATTTACCTAATTTGATTTATTTCTGTAACTGAATTTTTTAGGGGATTGGGAGGGGGAGGGGTGCAGACCTGGGATGTCCCTGAGTCGATGTAGATCTGTGGCCATTTCCTGCTTTCTCTTCTTAAGGATGTTTCTGGGAGCAATGCAAAGTTCGGATTTGCCCTGGGGCCCGAGCAGCTTGTGTCCAGGCCTGGCCTTCCTGACCCTAAGGCCAGACTCTCTGACCAGTAGCTGGCTATTGGTCGCTGCTTCTCATAATGGAAAACCATGAAATTTAAGGCATTTGAAGTATTTTCTACTTATATCTGAAATATTTTATAGTTGTAACTTACTCCTCCATACCTGCTCTCCCCTAACTAGAATTTTGCTTTTTCTGTCTGAGAACCATATCCAGGGACTTCATTTATTCCCGTACTTCTCTGGAAAGCAGCGCCTTAGTTTGCTCTTTCTTGCTTCCTGGCAGAGAACCAGCCCTTCCTTCCCTCTGTGTATAGGCTTGGTATGGAGATGCCTGGTTCCCTTCCTAGGCCCGCAGCAGGACTACTGATTTCTGTATAGTGGGGTACTCTCCGCTCTCTTCACCTGCTTGGGGCAATAGTGGATTTTGCAAAGCTCTGCTGCCTCCTCACCGGCTCCTCATTTGTGCCTTTTTCCTCCTCAGGACTGACGTAGGCTCCAGAGGAAGCCTCAGCCATCCAGAATCCTTCCTAGTGCGTTCACTTCAGAGGCCTTCACCACCAGTTGCTGCATGACTACAATGTTCCATGTTGTCTCTGGAGGTTCAGATGGCAGAGGTGGGGGCCAGATTCTAAAGGACTTTCCCCATTTACATGGTTCTAGCAGACTTTAATTAAGGTCCCAAGAGATGGCATCCCTGCAAACTTCCTATGAGAAGAAGGATTTCTGTGTTTGACCAAAACCTCATTGGGACCCGCTGGTAGAATTGGTCAGAGAAGAGCAAGGCCTAGGCCCTGGGTCCAATTCCCCAACGGACCCAACAGCTTCATGGGAGAAAAGTTGTGTTCTCTGGTTCCAGACACTGGGGCTGAACCCAGCCAGCATTCCTGGGATGTGGGCTTTGGGCCGTGAAGGGCACTAGGAACGGCCATTTGGGGGCATGATGAGGCTATGGGGAGAGAATAGGATGAGGCATTGGGGAGCTGAGTTCTAGTTCTGGGCCTGGCACGACTGGCCCTCTCATGACATTTCATCTCCATGAGCTGTCACTCCATGCTTATAAGGCTCTCTTCCTTCACTTTGACCTCCTGCCTTCCCCACCTTGCTTCCCGCCTCAGCATGCTGTCTCTCCCCTTCCAATGTAAGATCCTCAAGGACTGACCCCAGGACTTTTCTTTTCCTTGTATGCCCTGGACTTCCCATAATGCCTGGCACACAGAAAGCGCTTAATAAATGCTGGCTGACCACCTGACTAGCATGACGCAGCTTCTTGACTTTCCCCGAATCTTTTAACATTTCAGGCAATTAAAAGGATTAAGCTACTCCTAGCTCAAAACCTTTCTGTGGTCCCATATTACCAGCCTATTACCAGGGGGCGTCTAGGTGGTGCAGTGGATGTAGGGCCAGACCTGGAGTCAGGGAGACCTGAGTTCAAATCTGGCCTCAGACACTTACTAGCCATATGACCCTGGGCAAATCACTTAACCCTGTTTGCCTCAGTTTCCTCATTTGTAAAATGAGACGGAGAAGAAAATGACAAACCACTCCGGTATCTTTGCCAAGCAAACCCTAAATGGGGTCAACGAAGAGTCAGACGTGACTGAAATGACTGAAGAATGAGCGGAATTCAGACGTGTGTTCTGACACTCAAGGCCCTACTTTTCTACCCTGACTTATCCTATCTACTGTGTCCCTGCCAAGGACTCTAAGTTCCAGCCAGACTAGGCTCTTAGGCCTGCTCTTTGTACCTCTGTGCCTTTGACCGCACCACATTTCTAATACCGAGAAGTCTCAGTTTCCTCTCTTTGCCTAGTGACTTCTCATCTGTTTTTTAAATCCAGCCTCAAAGGCCACCTCCAACAGGAAGCCTTCCCTGATTCCTCAAGGGGATGATGACCCCCATCTCTACCATACACACATCACCCCTGCCCATACCCCCGACGTCCCTGTTGTGGATTATTTTGTATCATGGTTGTCCTTCATTATGGGTGTGTCTAGACAAAAGAGAGCCCCTGTAGAACCTCTGGAGGACCTTCTTGGTGGAAGACACGGCCCGATGGCATCAATTCCTGGTACTTTGTGCAGCCTCCTAAATCAGAGCCATGGTCACAGAGAGTCTGACTTAATCCTCTGCCCAGAGCAATGAGTGGATGAAGAGTGTCCGTGGCCCAGATTCCGCTAAGCAGTTGGGAGGGCTGTCCATCCAGCTGGTCCTCGAGTGTGTGTCCCACAGAACCACCTTTGGGCTGGACTAGAACGGAGACTAGAACCAGAGGAGGAGAGGGGCCTGGGGCTTTCCACTGAGACTCTTCTCCATGGAGTATACGTCCAGCTCCATGGACGTATATGTCAGCACCAATATATACTCCATGGAGTATATGTCAGCACCAATGGTCTTTTGGTGATGGGCTGTGGCCATGTGCAAGCCATGGGACATTGTGAGAACTGACTGACACTCACCTAATTGTGTGATGGAGAGCTTTGTGATGGGGGTAAGGAGGCAGCAAGACCTACTAATGAGGTGAGCAGGAGAAGTGAGAGAGAAGATATTATCAGAGAGATGGATAGCTGGGAAGTGAGGCAGGCTGGCTATGGAGTGAGAGGGAAGGATGACCCATGCTCCACGCACATCGGCATAACGTTGAGAAACAGGAGGACATGGAAAGGGTCCCACAGGAATGTAAGGCTTGGGTGGGTTTCAGTAGAAAGAGAAGGCCCACTTTAGTGATATGACAGATCCCCAAGTATCCCAGTTCTATGAGCCCCCCTGGCTTTCCAGGTGCATGAGGTCTGGGACCAACTTTGAATCTCTGTCTGTGCCTTACTCAAGACTCTGTCTCTTCCTCCTAATGCAGCCTGTGATCATATTACCCTTTTTTTGCTTCTACCTCACCCTGCTGTCTCAGGTAGAATGCAGTCCACTAAGACCCCCAATCTTTTTCAGAACAACTGCTGTCTAAGCATGCCCCTCCCAATCTTATACTGTGAAGTTGATCATTTGTACCCAAGCACAAGGATTTATAATTATCCCTTTTATCTCTCATCTCACTGGCTCAGCCCAGAGATCTCTTTGAATGCTGCCCCAATCACCCACTATGTTACATCTCCTTCCCAGCTTTGCATCATCTCTCCATCTGGTGAGCCCCTCACCTCGGTCTTTATTCAAGTCACTGATTGAACAAAACTGAACACTTCTCTGCTGGAGATATTCTGGCACTGAGAGGAAGGGCTTCTGTGACAAATTTGGGCATTGCATTTACTCTGAATTCTGTTGCCTTCTAGGGCTTTTGTACGTAACAGGGCACTGATTGTGTGTGTGGTTCTGCTTTTGTCCTTCTGTGTCAGTTCATACAAGTCTTCCCATGTTTCTCCAAATTCCTCCTACCCCTCGTTTCTTGTGGCACGGTAATATCCTATTACATTCATATTTCACATGTCAAAATTTGGTTACCCATTCCCTCGTGGCTGGGCACCTACATTGTATCCAAGCTTTCTGTTTTTAATTCGCTACTATAAAAAAGCTGCTGTGAATATTTCAGTTTGGATTGGGCTTTCCTGTCTCGGACTCCTTTGACACACACACCTTGCAGTGGCATTGCTGGGTCAAGAGTTATAATGTAGTCACTTTTCTAACATTTTCAAATTGTTTTACTATTCTACCAACAACATCTTAGTGTTTGTCTTTCCCTGCAATATTGACTATTTCTATCTCTAATCAACTTGTCGTTCAGAGGGCCCGAAGAGGATAGCAGGCAGAGAGCTGGCCTTGAGGGACAGCACCCCTGGGGTCCTGTCTGCCTCAGGCACATACTCTGTGACCCTGGGCAATCAGCCAGCCTCAGTTTCCTCCTTTGTAAGATGAGGAGAATAAAAGCCCCTTCCCCCGAGGCTTAAGATGAAAAGAAATGAAGTTTATGAAGCACCTTGCCAACCTTGAAGTGCTACATTAACTATTAGCTGCATTATTGTTGTTATTATTATCTTTGCCAGTTTGGTGATTGGCAGAGTAAAGCTCAGAGGTGCTTTGAGTTGTATTTTTCTTACTTGCAGTTTGGAGAATTTTTTTGTTTGGTTGCTGATCATTTGTATTTTTCTCTTTTGAAAACTATTCCTATCCTTTGGCCATTTATGTACTGGGACAGAATCAGGGTTCAAAGAAGTCACTGATGTGTGTGTGTGTGTGTGTGTGTGTGTGTGGGATGTGTGTGTATATGTGTGAGTTTGTATTTAGGAGTGTATATGTGGTCTGTGAGTATGTGTATGTGGGGTGTGTGTATATGTGGGGTATAGTAAGTGTGTATGTGTATGTTTGTGGGTATGTAAGTGTAGATATGGTATGGTATTTGCTTGTGTATATGTGAGTATGTGCATGCGTGAGTGTGTGTGAGTGTGTGTGTGTGTGCACGCACGTGCAGCATTGTGTTCCAGAAAGAACCCTGGCATTGGACTTCTAGGCTCTGGGTTCCGTTTTCTTCGGAGTTCTCTGGCCTTGAACAGCCCCCAGCCTCCGTGCCCCAGCCCTCCCCTTCCTACAATGCAGCTCACAATGACTTGACCTAATGAAACAATGTCCACGGGCATGTTGCCCGCTATGGTATAAAATCTGATTGCTTTGATCACCTCGATGGCCGGGCTCTTGGGCCACCCACCGAGCAGAGAACACCAATCCCATTTTCTCTACCTTTAAGTCCCCTGCAGCTTTTAGAACTCATTGTGATAATTTTCCTCCGTCATCTTCAGGATCATAGATATGGAGCTGGAAGGCGCTTCTAAAGCCTTTGAGTTCAACCCTCTCATTTTACAGATGAGAAGACTGAGGATCATGAAGGTTCAACATCTTGCCCGAGGTGACACGACGCTGAACGTCCTAGCTGGGAGTTGAATTTGCACCTTCTCACTTCAGAGTTACTGTTCTTTCTGCTGTACCAACTGCTCACCAAGTAATCCTTGTTTTCCTGTGTCCGTGTTAGTTATCACACAAACAGAGATAAACTCGGGGTCTGCATCCTGGTTACATTAAAGTCTAGGACTCTAAAAAACTGTCTATGGCCAGAAGACAAGTTTCCATGGAAACAGCCAAGTTCAAATGGAATAAATAAATCCACCAAGTACATTGAAAAAGAAAGTCTGCCTCTTGTTTGCTGCTCTAGAAAGGGCAGCTTCTGGTTCTTTTAGCTCTTTCCCATGCCGGACCCCGGAATTATTGTACTGTTGATTCCCCTGCCCCAGGAGCTCCTACTTGGAAACAATGCACATTGTCACGTCATGGGCACACTTGGGAGTTTACTAGTGTGGCCACCTACGACCTTAGGCTAATTTTTCCTTAAAGGTATTGATGCCATCCTTGGGTCTTGATTGACTCAGAGGACTAAAGGTGAACCTTCTGAGGCTGCCCACACCCCTGCCTCTGCCCCGAGCACAAAGCTAGCCCAGGGAGTGTCTGGCCCACTCTCTCATGACTGGCTGGTGGATCATGATGGGCAACCCAGGCAAGGAAGGTTTGCTTGATTGAGTCACTGAAGGGCCCCTCAGGGGTTAGCCCTGTGGGCATCCTTCTCCTGCTTCAGTGAAGGGAATCTCCTTTCGTTAAGGCTGAATGCCTCATGAATGTCTTGTT